GATCCTGGGCTTGTTTATTCTGCTGTAAGGGCTCATTTCTTCTTTTAAATGGATGTGAATAATATTTTACTTCCCAATAATTCCCTATGTTGTACAATCAGCAATCCCAAAGGTGTTAGTAGGAACAGTATAAGTAGGTAAGTTCAGAACAGATGCATCACTGTCCAGACTGCAGTGCAATATTTTCAGTATTTATGGAAGGTCTTTGTCTCACTTCAGTACCTGGTAATGTTATGATGATTATTCAGGTGAAAAACACCTGTAAAACAACTCAGTCATTGGACACAGCCAGTACAGCTTCATGAGAGGGAAGTCCAGCTTAACAAACCTGATTTCCCTTTATGACAAGGTAACCCACATAGTTGATCAAGGGGAGCTGGTTGATGTAACCTTTTAGATTTCAGTAAAACTTTTGACAGCATCTCTCACAGGATCCTTCTGGAAAAAACACCCAACACACAGCTGAATAAACACATTATGTCATGGGATAGCAACTGGCTCACAGGTCAGGCACAGAGTTATAGTGAAAGGGGTGACATTGGACTGGGGTCCTGCCATTAGTGGGGTTCCACAGGGCTTCATTCTCGCCCTTGTGTTCTTCGTCATCTTCAGAAATGACTTGAAATGCAGGACTGAAAGGGATACCAAGTGAGTTTGCAGATGATACAGAACTGGAGGATCTGTCAGCTCCCAGAAAGTCCCTGCAGAGACACCTCAAAAAGTTAGAGAGGTGGGCAATGACCAACAATGAGAAGTTCAACAAGGGCAAGTGCAGGATTCTGCACCTGGGATGGGGCAGCCCTGGGTATATGTACAGACTGGGGAATGAGATGCTGAGACACTGAGGAAAGCAGAGCTGTGGAAAGGGACCTGGGGGTTACGGTTGATAGCAAGTTGAACATGAGTCAGCAGTGCCCTGGCAGCCAGGAGGGCCAACCATGTCCTGAGGCCGTCAGGCACAGCATCACCAGCCGGGCAAGGGAGGGGACTGTCCCCTCTGCTCTGCACTGGGGTGGCCTCACCTTGAGTGTTGGGGACAGTTTTGGGTGCCACAAAAAATATTAAGCTCTTAGAGAGCATTCAAAGGAGGGCAGCAAAGCTGGTGAAGGGCCTTGAAGAGAAGCCATATGAGGAGTGGCTGAGGTCACCTGGGCTATTCAGCATGGTGAAGAGGAGACTGAGGGGGCATCTCACTGCTGTCTAGAACTTCCTTGTGGAGGGGAATAGGAGGGGCAGGATCTCTTAGATCATAGGATCTCTTCTCTGTGGTGATCAGTAACAGAACAGGAGGGAATGGCCCAAAGTTATGCATGGGAATGTTTGGGTTGGACATCAGGAAAGCTTCTTCCCCCTGAGGGTGGTTGGACACTGGAGCAGGGTCCCCAGGAAGTGGTCACAGCACCAGCCTGACAGAGTTCAAGAAGCATTTGGACAATGCTTTCGGGCACAGGGTGTGATCTTTGGGGTATTCTGTGCAGGGCTAGGGGCTGGACAAGGTGATCCTTTTGGGTCTCTTCCAACACTGCTTATTCTGTGATTCTGTGATTCATTTTGGTATGAAAATATTGATGTTCACAAATGAAGCCAGGAAACATACACTAACAGAATCAACTCTATACATCAAAAAACAGAGCTTTATAATACTGCTTATTAGTGGGAAAAAAAAAAAAAAAGAAAATTCAAGTTTTGCAAAGAATTAGTGAATGCATAAATCTCTGATTAAATATTTTCCTTGCAGAAGACAATTACTTTTCCTAGCACATGAATAAAAAAAATGTCTTCAAATATATCTTTTTGAAATCTGTCTGAAAACCAGTTATCATCAATTTTATGGCTTCTTTTTTCTTTTTTGTTTTCCTTCCAGAATCTGGTAGCCTTTTTTGTGTGAATGTGATGGATAAAATACATGTTCCGTGAAGGAGAAGCTGGATGACCTACAGTGAGTGCTCAAAACATTAGCTTTCATAACTGAATTCTAGAATCTCCTGGAATAAATGCATTGTTAATTATTTCTTCAAAGTCAGGTCAAATTCAACAGTAAGAATGGTTCATGTGGCGGCTCATGTCTCTCATTCTTAGCACTTACCAGGATTCACAGCCAAGGAAACAAAAGCTTTCTCTGAGGGCATTTGTGGGTTTGATCTCCTAAGACTAGTAACAACCAGATGAGAGATCTTGCTGCTAAGCCATTGTGTCAAATATGAGATCCATTACTAGAGTTATTTTGAAAAGGAAAGCAGTTTTGTTCAGCTTGTAATTAAAAATACAATTTAGATTGCTTAGGCTTATGATGAGAGCATTTAATTTGTACTTGCCATTCACATTGTCTATGGGTTTGATTGCAAGAGTATTTGAAATCTTGGGATTGAGTGTATTTTCGATTCTAATTTAGAAAATTGCTTCCGACATATTGCATTTCTAAATAAAAGTAAAGGCTCCTGCTTAACCTAGTAATGTTTATTTTGTTTACTAAAGGAAAATTAATGAATTACAAGTTAATGATCAAGTGGATACAGAGGAGAGCTACAGAAATGATTGGAGGACTGGAGCACTTCTGCTATGAGTAAAGGCTCAGAGCTGGGGTTGTTCAGCTGCAGAACAGAAGGCTCCATGGAGACCTTCTAGCACCTAAAGAGATACTACATGAGAGCTGGAAAAGGACTTTTTGCCAGGGCATGTAGTGGCAGGACAAGGGGGAATGGCTTGAAGCTGAAAGTAGGTTTAGAATAGATACTGGCAAGAAATTCTTTACTATGGTGACAACAAGGCACTGGAACAGGTTGCTCAGAAGAGTTGTGAATGCCCCATCCCTGGAGGTGTTCAATACTGGTCTGGCTCTGTGCAACCTGATCCAGTGGAAGAAATCTCTATCCATAGCAGGGGGGTTGGAACTAGGTGATCTTTAAGGTCCTTTAAACCCAAATCATTCTGCCATTCTATAAAAGAAAAAACAGAAGACTGACAGCTTATTGAAAAAAAAAATGGGGATTGACTAATAACTAATTACTAGCTAATTGTTTTTGAAATGTGGAATATCAATATTAAAAAGCAAGTCCTTCATAAGTATTTATAATAATTTAGGATTAGTATGTATTTGCTTTTTTTTTTTTTTAAAGAGAGCTTTAATTTTCCTTTTCAAGTTGAACACGTATGACACTTTCAGTTAATTTATTGCAGATATGTATGTAAAAAACCAGAGATTTAGGTGCATATTAAGGAACAAAGAAACACAGACTTTCTTGCAAAAAAAGATGCTTTTCTGAATTATGTAGTAGCATATTTCAGAAGATTTATTTGACAATATACCTTACCTCTGTATTGGTTGATTTTCTAAAGCTGGATTCGAATTTATCCAGATTTATGAACCAGGAAAATCAATTGCATTGATGTTTTGTGTAGATTTAAAAAATAATTTATCCTTCTGAAATAGCCATGTTATATTGGTATGTACTCATCCGGTAGCTAGTTCAGTCTCTGTCAGTGCAAGCATTCTTGAAATTTAATTCTTGCCTTTCAGATTTAACTAAACCCCCTAAATGCAATCAGATGATAAGCACAGGATTCATGAGATTGACAATAAAAAGTTCATCTTTGTCACACTTGCTACTCATGTATTTCTTAGTGTGCCTACTGAGACAATCTAGGGAGTTTCTTAGAGGAAAAAAACCCCATAGATTCTCTTAATCTAAATGTATACCTATAGTGTAAATCATATGCTATACAGATCCCTGTGTGATGCACTAGGAGCCCAGAGCTAACATTGAAGTCATATGGACTGGAGGAAATTTTCTGCTTGTTGTCTAAAGTCAGGAAAAATACGTTTATAGGAAATAACCAGGGGCAGTCTGGAAGATGTCTACAATAGTAATACACTCAGAATTAGAAAACTTAAAAAAACCCCAAACACCCAAACCCCTCCTAATTAAGAAACATATTAATTTCTCATTGTATTAAGATTCTTAATTTTTTGTCTCTTCTATTGACTACAGATCATCCAGAACAGACTGGAGATTACATTCACCCCCAACTGATTAACGCAGTAGATTTTGTATTTGTATCATGCATGAGCTGGACAGGTAGGTATGGAAGGTATGACAATCCTTGGAAACCATGCTGTAGTATTCAGCTGTCTGCAAATTTCTCAGGGGGAGTTCTCCACATCATGAAGGAACAAAAAATATTGAAGCTGAGATCTGTTGAGATGCATCTCTAAGAGAGCAGTGCTGCTCTTGAGGTACCTGGGTTTGATACTGACATTGGTAGTCAAGCAGAAGGCTTGCTTGGTGTGAGGCAATTTGAACAAGTAAGGAGGATAAATTGGTCCCTTAGGTAATATAGAATCCAAGTAGTGCTCATTTCAGTGAAAGGAGCCAGGAAAAAGGACAAAGGATATTTGTTGAGACAGAAAAACAGATGCAATTATCTATTTTTTACATAACTGTCATGTCAGATTTATAATTTTATACATTCCCTTTTGACAAGAAGCTGCAATGACTAGCCACATTATTTTCTTACAGTGCTCAGAAGTAAACTGCCAGTTTCAGGACAGATCTCCTTGTCACAACTGCCTGGAAGAGAAACACATTACCAACTACAGTACAAACGCATACTACCATAAGATTTTAAATTTTTATGTGCATAAGGTGCAATCCAATTTCTTTTCACAACATAATGGCCATAGATTTAAACCTTTTGGCAGTTATAAGATGGATTTTTTTGTTCTGTATAGTCCACAAGATCTCTCTTACAGAGAAATAATAATAAAAAAGGGTTTAAAGATCTCAAGAGAGGTCTGAGAACCTTTTTTTTTTCTATAAAATTCAAAGTTTTCAACAAATAAATGTTTGTATATTGCCTGACCAAACTGGTAAAAAATAAATTGCTTTATTTGTTTTGTGATTTCTCTAGTGAAGAGCTGAAGTGTCTGTTTTGCTGGCGAATGGCACCAGTTGTGACCCAGTTGATTGTATGCACTCTGTACTTTCTCAGGTGGCCTCGCTCTATTGATTTGGTGTTTGAGAAGTCCAGACGCTAATGCTCCTAATGATCAGCCATTCTTTTTGACTTTTAGTAACAAGTATTCTCATGCAGTTAATATCAAACAGAACTTTGTGCTCTACATCTGTTATTTCAAAATTCCCATTTTTAAACTCCCCTAGTCTCAAGTAAGTTGTGCATTGTCTTCCTTTTTTACTGCCTACAATCTTTTCACCTACTTCCAGGGCCCCATGATGTAAAATGTCATTTTGCCGATCTTCAGTTCCAGTGACAACTTTAATTTTACTGATTTTAATGGGCTTTTCAAATACAATCCCATAGAAGTCTCCAGTAGAAGGAGCTTTGCCCCAGAAGTACTCATCAATGCTGCTGTAAGCCTTGCTTGCCTCATAGTTTTCAAATACATTCATATTGGTGTGCAAGTTTGCAGGTGGGTTGTCAGGGATATCAAAGGATTCCTCTTCAAAATCATCATCCTTTAACTTATTTTCTGCTCCTTTGTAAGATGAGTAGTATCCCATGTGCTGGAAGAGAGATGGCTTAAAACGTATCACTTCCTTTTGAGCTAACAGCCCACGAAAGTGGATGAGCAACCAGTCACAAGGCATTTCTTGGTAAAACATCAATAGAAAATGGGCCAGGCGTGGTAGGTCATGGGAATGGTAAAGCTTTCCAATGTACCCCAGCTTGGAGAATTCCAGTGTCACCCAGTAGGATCCTTCTCGTGAGGTAATTACTTTCTTAACAGCAGTCAAAAAATTCTTTGAGCAGCGAACATCATCTTCCAGCATCACATAGTAGTCAGAAAGGTTGGCACAAAAGTTTAGAAGGAAAGCATAATCTACATTTTGTTTTGATCGAAACTTCACACGGTCCTCAGGGTCATTGTAATTTCTCTTAAGGCCATCCAGTACAGGATAGTAATCCTCAGGGACGTGAATAACTATTAATCTGCCTGCAATTATGTGATGTGCAAATTTCTGTGAAATATCTTGGACCATCCCTTCACACCAGGCTGAGTCAAAATCTGCTAGCTGTACTACCACTGCAATTTCTTTGAGTTCATCATAGCTTGACTGCTCAAATATGGACTTGATGGTCTCGAGCAAGTAGTTTCCCTTTTTCCGTTTTACAGAGGATAGTCCAATTGTAAGATACCCTGTACAAAAGACAATTCAAACAAAAACTTGAGTATCTGATATTGGAAGCAATTTTATCACAAACATATTCTCCAGAGCTGTCTTTATATTAAATAAACCTAATGAATGGTGAAGACTGAGAAATTTGGTATGTGAGTTTATGAAGTTGAAAGTGACAAAGGACCTTTATTGTCTTTTCATTAAGAGGTATGATATTGCAAGCAAATAGACATGTGGAGACTATTGTGTTAAACATTCACTGGTTTACTGCCAGGAGAAGCACGCTGGGGACAAATGCCAAAGCAGTGTGTACGTTTATGCCTTGTAGACAAAACCACATATACAATGATAAGACTGCAAATCTGCCAAAAGAAAGGGGATTATGAGGAGATTATTCACACCATATTTTGAAAGCAAGGAACTACCAAATGCAGCATTTCTATCATTTTAAGCCCTTTAAAAGTCTAGTTACATCTATGCATAACTTTACAGTTTTATGCATTTTGCATGGATAATGATTTCTCAGAGTGTTCATTTGTAGGTGAATTTGTCTAGTTTTTTCCTTGCCAGTAGTTTTTCTTCTAACCCTCTTTCAGGACACATCAAGCATTTTAAAGGGAACACCCTGCAATTTAGACATTATTTTAAAGTAGAAGAGAGCTTCTCCCCTTGCTTGCACAAATAATTTTTAATGCTGTTAAATTCTTTCTAGACAGAGATATATCTTATAAAACAAGAAATTTCATTTCTGCAGTTTTTTTAGTCACTGCCATTGCATTTTTACCAGCATTCTAAATCAGGATTTTTTTCAGATATTTGCAAATATATCTCTATCTTTGGTAACTTCTGATGTAAAAAATGTTAAGACTTTGTAATTGTCAGGGTGTACCTAAGTTGAACCTACCCCAACTTTCTTAAAATGTAGTCATTTGTAAAAGACTGTTCTGATAGTGATTCAGGGTTTCCCTTGAGGATTAAGTCTGCCCAAAATGAAGTGGTACAGTGAAGCACAACCCCCAGAAGTCCTTTACACTGCATACAGAGCCCCAAATGTTTCAAATCTAATTTGAACAGACTTTCTAGCTTTCTGAGACTCACGTGTTATTTTATTTTACCTCCTGGGCTTGGACTTTAGAGCTTTGTTTATGTATGTGAAATGGTTGATTTGGAACCCAAAGGACACCTGCCTAAAGTTTAGGTATGGCCATATTTCACTTTTAGAGGAAAGTCTTGAACCATGCATGAATTAAGAATAACTAAATAGTCCATCTGCAAATGGCTGTGAGAAGAATCCTCCTTTACTGTCCCAATAATAGCACAATTCAGCTCCCTTCTCAGCACAGCTAAAGGAGCAAGGAGTTCCACTTGCAGCTGCTGGGCCAGCAGGATAGCAGACCTGAGGGGTGCATCTATGTGATGCCAAGCATACTTAAGATTGGATTTACCCTTTATACAGAGATTGACAGTATGGTCTCAGAGGGTGGTTACAGAACACAACCAGCATGTGCCTTACTTCTGCTTTCTAAATCATCTTCCTCTTGCATGGGAGGAGATCCATGGAATTATTCTCCCACATACACCCAGGGACATCTACAAGTCAGGCAGTTGGTCTGACAGTTGGTCAGAAGGTAATCAGGCTGTAGAGAAATTAATGCTAGGTCTGGACTAGAGGCCACTCAGGAATGGCCACTAGTGACAGCTCTTGGGGCTGTCACTACTTAACTCAGCCCCTCTTGCACAGAAATACCACAGGGACTACATGGATTTCACGCCTTTTAAAATTACCTCATTTTGCAATATTCTAATTGCAGTTACTTACTTTTCCTTGGCAAAGGTGTGCCAGCTAGGTAGCGATAGGAAATGTTTATAGATCCTGAGAAATTAGACAAATCTTTAAAACTGTGAACATAACGCTCTGGGTTGAGCTGGTGCGTGGCTGTTTCTCTGATTAACTGCTTGTCTCCTTCCTATTAGCAGGAAAACAAAAATAACAAAAAAGGGAGAGAGAGAGAAACACATTTGTGAATGCCAGTTAGAGAGGAAACATGGACAGGCAGGTTTCCAAGAATAACATTTTTCAGTTTCAGCTTTCATGAAAGCATGTAGATGTCACCTCATTTAAAACAAAAACCAGCAAACAAAACCTCCCCAAACCAAAAAGCATTACTGAATATCATACATTTTGGCTACAGAAAATCTACCATAAACCTTCAGATTACAGTAAAAGGAAAAGAAAAAAAAATACTTTGCATAAAACTCTGGAAAAGTAGCAAATATTAAATTATTGGCCAAAAAATGCGCTGGTATTCAAAAGAGGGATAAGAAAATATCACTCAGCAACAGATAAGATAATTTTCACAGATGTAGAAACACAGAAGACTTTAAAAAATGTTTCTAGTGATTAAAAAAATCTACCAAAACTGCTGCAAAGAAAAGACAAAGCTAGATCCTGGCACCTGGCTCATTTTGATATTTTTCTGAGAAGTTTTGACTCAGGTTTGCAATATGAAGAAATGTATGTGATCATGCAGACAGTAAAAGTTTCTCTGAATTTGGAGAACACTGTTTGATGGCATAGTCAAAAGGTACATTTATCACCACACCTCCTCTTCCTTCCTCCTTTTTCACTCCTTTTCTTCCAAGAGGCTTCCCTAGTCATAGTAAAGGCACAGAATGGAAAGAGTGGCTTCATCAGCCACAGAAAGAGTAAACAATGCTCATATTTAATGGCATAAATATTAAAAAAATGTGTCAAAGCTATATTTTATAGCACAAATAAATCTTTCTGTAAACTGATCTTACATTCATTTACAGTTCATTGTTTTTCTTGCATAAAAGTAGTAAAAAATCCACTTCTGAGCTTAGTAGAGATCTTTGGCAGACATCCAGGAGCATCTACCTGCACTGTTATGCTCTCTTGATTTTCAGTGTCTCTTGAGTAATTTCTCTCAAGTGCTTATGTGCCACTTTGCATTTGCTCATAAATTATGAGAGGAAGTTTGATGATCAGGTTCAAGACTAAAATGTAACCTAATGATCTAGAAAGAAAATACACCAAAATTTCAAGAGTTTTTCCATGAAAAATGTTAGGTGGAAAACAAAAAAGGCTGGTCCAAAAACTTTCTTTTTTCAAAACCCTTTCTTTAATATCTGAGAAGCAAACAAAACATTGTGTCATGGGTTCCAGAATGGAGCACCAAAATTCCTTGTTTCATAAGGTCTTGGAATGGAAACTTATTCTGCTGAGGTTTTGCTACATAAAATATTTAGAAATAGACAATGTCAGAAGAAAATGTTTTGATTTTAACAAGCAAAACATCTAAACTGACCACAAAAATTTTCCTTTTTTCCCCCCTCTTTAATAAATGCCTTTTGTGGCTAACATTTCTTTTTAATAGCTGCTCTTTCATTCTTTTGTTGAATGATGGGCAAAACTGAAATCTGGACTTTTTCAAAAGATTAAAATCTGTTTCTTCTATCTCTGGCTATGTAGAGGTCAGTGAAGCTGAGGAGCTTGATTAACTCTCCTTGGTTTTCTTCTCTAGCTTTTTCTAGAATTGTTTTGGCTTTCATCTGTTAACTAACCTCTAACTTACATTCCAGTGTTTGCTGGGAGTTTCATGTGGCTGCCATAGGATTAAGTGCCACAGTTCTTCACCCTTTATGAAGATATCCTGCTCTGGTAAGGATGCTGTGTTAATTACAATAGTGTAATTTTTTGCATAGTGCCCAAAAGAGTGATTAGTATTCACAGAAGAGTGCAGAACACATGCTTCACTTACAATCCACTTACTACTCTGAATAGGTAGAAGACCCCCTTGTGTATATTGTGATATCTGGTATATTTTAGCTTAGTATGTCTTCAAAATGCTTGATCAAATGCAGTTCATACATTGTAGATGAAGCACCTTAAACTGCTTTTCTAATACACATGTATCAGCACTGCATAACTGCATACCCTCTATCCAATATGCTTCAGTTATTTTGCCACATGGGCCCTTATTTTCCATTTCTGCAGCAAATGCCCTGCAGAAAACTCTGAAGCGATTCTCTGGATATGTGAGACCCTTTGAGCAACACCAGAAAGTTTCTCTTCTCTCTTCTTAAGTTTTACCGAAATGAATGTCATTTTAACACTCTAACTTTTTGAAAAAGACCACTTGTGTTACATCTGGTGCCAGGGACACCAGCACCACAACCCCTTGCACAGCCGAGACTGGGAGGAGGAGCTCCGGGTCAGTTGTCTTCCCTCTACCAGTTACCTTCGTCCAGCAGAAGATTTGCTGCAATTCAGAGAGCCTTTGGGGCTCTGAGGACGTTCAGATTTTCATTCCCTGAGGGAAACTGGTTAGCCTGCTGTGCTCAAAAGCTTTTCCCAAGTATATTTCTCTTCACCACAAACAGTGAAATTGCTCATCTTTTACCTCAGCAGAGAAAACACACCAGACAGGGTGTGTTTGGAGCTGCCAGACAGGGTCAGGAAGTTTGAGAATAAAAGTAAATAAATAAGTTGAAAAGTCAACATCTTAACACAGTTGAAAAATACTTGATGGACCATAAAGGTATCAAGAGACCTGGAAGAACTGTCAGAAGACTTGGCAAGAGCTGCATGAATGCAAACATGCCAGAACTGTGATGAGAGAAGCAATGAAAGAGAGTGAATTTATAAAAGGCAGGGGAGGGGAGGGTGGAAAGAGAAATTAAGAATAAGATAAGGAGCCATCTGGGGAGCTGGCAAATAGGACAGGGAAAGATTTCAAAAACAAGCCAAGAGGAACACCATTAGCAGTGATAATAAAAGCACTTTCAGAAACATCTGGGGGACTTTGAAGCAATTAGTGAACAGAGGAGAAACATTAGGGAAAATGCCACTAGGAAAAAAAAAGTGATAAGCCAGGTCAAATTTAATCATAACCAAGAAATGTTAAGTAAATAAAAAAGTGAAAAACCTTTGTAGTACAAAAAGAAATATGCCTGTAATGGAGTAACATGCTACAAGAATGGGCTATCTTTTCAATGGCTTAAAAAAGTACTAGCATAATAGTAATATTGTAAATATTTACAGTACTGTTATATAATGATAATATTTTAGATTAAAATAATTAAAACTGCATATATGGTTCTGATAAATAATGTAAGGATTTTACTGCTTGTGTATTACACTTTTTGACACACTATTTTGTTTCTTTTCAGATGCAAATGGGATCTGAATTCACTGCTAAAAATGTTGGAAAATCCATACTGTCCCAGTTCAATTCACGATAAAGACAGCACTATCTAGTCATATCACAATATAACAAATTCTGTTTAGTCATTTTACTATTTGCAAGATTCAGTTTTCAACCACTATGTTTTTTTACTGGGCCCAGTCCAATCTCCAAAGAACTGGAAATTCAATCCTTTAATCAAGTCTCTAGGGCTCACTTGGCATTCAGCACTGAAACACCCCTAGGTTACACATAAACTGTAGAGTTATGCTATGTTGTCAGTAGCTTATTTGTTGAAATTCCTAACATAAATATTTCCACAATTTTTTTCAAAATCATAAACTTACATTAGGTTTCTTTTGTCTAATTTTTAATGCTGTAGCACTGAACCCATCAGACTAAAATCTGAGTTACAAAAAGTAGGAAAACCACAAAATAAACTCACTAAAATGAAATTATTTATGCAAGGAACTTAAAGTAGATAGAATGGGTGTAAATTTTCTTTTATAATTTTATTTCTATAATAGCATTTAATGCAGTATTCAGAGGTGAGATTTGCAGTGTATACTGAAAAACAAGCTCCCAGCTCACACAAATAGTTCAGATGTAGTTTATCCTCAACAATTTACCATTTTGCTAGGGGTGTTGTACTATTTTCTTGTTCCAGGATCAATTCTTTGCAACTTACCAAAACATAACTATCCTCAATGTACAAGTTCATGAACAGCAAGCAAACAACAAGGATTCCTAAGAATGACACTGCTGATCGTTTCCGCAAGCATCTCATTTTATCAAAATATTTCAAGTTGCGTCTCGTGAAGAACTGCATACGGTAGTGTCACCTATGAATAAAACCACAGCGTTACAAGAATGGTCCACCTGATAAGCATGACAACAACTAAACTTACCTTCAGATGTATCAAATCCCTTCAAACTTACATAGAATGCATTTTCAGGCAGAATTGATTTGATTTAATCATTGTTATCTTCAGATTTAATATACAATCTTAACCATAAACTGAGCTTCCTTTTTTTTTTTCTTTTTTTTGGTGTCAATAAAGAAAAAAACACCTACCCACTGTCATACCCATTTTAAAGTGGGTTTATGATGGATGTCAGTGTGGCAGGAGTGCATCAACTGTTTAGTTTAATATGCTCAACTGTCAGATCCCAGCTTGGTAGCTAGAGATGATGCTGTGCATTGTTCCCCCATGTACCTGCGTCTCCTCCCAATGACAGGCCAGGTCAACAGGAAAGGAGGAAATTATTGCATGACTCAGTGTTACCAATAGAAGAATTCTGTATGCCAGAGCTTCCAGGCACAAAAAGGTACCTTCCCTGAAGTGAAAAAGTACTAGCAAGACTGTATAATAGCTCTTTGAGCTTTTCCATCAAAGTACAGAGGACCAAGGTTAAGTGGAGGTATTATTTCCATCTTCAGAAGAAAGGTGGGTCTCCACCTTAGACCAGACACATCTAAGCAGAGTATTGGGAAATCCTTACCGACCCGATTAGATAAACCAAATAATGGTGGCACAGAGATCATGAATCCCCTCAGTATTTCTGGTCAAGATCAAGAAAGAGGACTGTCTAGTCATATTCTAATGTTGTATATCCATTTTAGTCATTTTACTCTGGAAAACACGACGAATGCTGTTCTTGCCCACCAAATTGTAGCACTAACCTGTGTAGGACTGTATGTGTTTGAACAAGATTTGGCCCTAAATTAAAGATCTCACTGCCCAAACTCTGAGGAATTATTAACAAAACAGAAGACTATAAATTTATTATTTGTGTATTATGTTCTTACTCATATTTTGATTATTTTCCACAGCAATTCATGATTTTTCAATTGAATTGAATGTATAGAAGTTATGTACAAATGAAGACTTTAAAGCTAGCCTATGTGAAGTAGGAAAAAACACAACACATGCAATGGTTAAAGCCTGCAGTTAAATACCTTCATTTTTGAAAGTGTTGAACATCTACAAAATAGGACATATTAGGAGTTCCATAAATGATTTGTCATGTCATATAGAAAATTTTCTGCCCTAATAACAAAAAATGTACCAAGCACAAAATCTAATGTATGTTTGTTTTGCCAAACTGAATAAACACATTTAACGGTATAAAATATGAGTCCATTGTACTCCAGAGAATCAGGAGGTAAATATATCAAATATTTGTAATGCAATTAGTAATTGCAAGTAATCTATAGATTTGAAATGAACTGCTGTAAATGGAGGCTGGTTGTACACAGAATGTTTTTATGTTCACTATGTTGAGAATAAAACCAATTTACAGGCTGCATGAAGAAGAAAAAGGAATCAGTAACAATGTATATTTTTGTCTGTCTTTATTTAGGTTGGCTGAATTACAAAAACCTGATTATTCTGAAGCTGAAAACCCCATATGATTTGGGTTTTTCATTTTTATTTCATTATTTTTTTGTCCCCTTCTTCCCTGCCCCCTCCCTTCTTCTTCTCACAGTGCAGTTACTGATTTTCAAACCACTACACTCTTTTAAAAACCAGTCAGTGGATCACTGGATGGTTTAAATACCTACACATCTCATATTAATGGCATCAACTGACTATTGAAAATGCAGTTATTCTGGGTTAGAGTGCTTGCAGTCTCTGTCAGCATATTACATTTCTCTTGGGTTAAAAAAACCCAACAAACAAATAAACAAACAGACAAACAAACAAACCAAAAACAACAAGGCAACAAAACTTGGAAATCAATAAATAAATGTGGGTTTTTTTTCAGTCACAGGATGAATATATGTGACATATTTGCTGGCTGGACTGTGGTGTTACACAGGTTCCCCATCTTTGCCCTGAGCCACCTGTATGAAGTCCCCAAGGATGAGGAAGGGGCTTAGAACTGTATTTCCTGGTCACACTGTATTAGATCATTCCTGTGTTGGAACATACATTCCTATGTGTGTCCTATTCCTAATAGATCATTCCTATTGGGTTAGGAATAAATATAGAGGGAATTACATAGGTGAGCCTAGAGGAACTGTCATGACTAAAGCTGCTGTACAGAGAGAGGGGGACACAGTACAGTCACCACTGAGAGGAGACCCCCATTTCTGGTGCTGGTTGCACACGAAGCCATTACATCACTGTTTTGCACATGGAAACATCTGGAAGCACAGCATCGTGCCAGCGGGGCCTTTTGTCGTCAGATCTCTTGGTAGGTCCATGCCAGGTAAAGGCAGGGAAGGGAAGGACGCCCCAAGGAGGGAGCGCCCGGTGGATCCCGTCCCGTCCCGTCCCGTCCGGGGGAGGCTGTGGCACCGCTGGTGACAGCAGGTGGCAGCGCAGGCTCGCCCGTGCCAGCCCCAGCCTGCGGCTCTGTCCCCCAGCGCCGCTGCCCCGCAGCCGCAGCTCGGCTGGAGGTGCTGCTTGACATCTTGACATCCTTACACCGTAAGCCTTTGTCTAAGAACACGTCATCCACGTGTACATGCAGGATTCCTTACGTCTTCCTAGAGCTGCTTCCTCTTGCATCTCTGTATCCAGTCTGTGGATTGCATTGTGGAACACCACACCAGTGAAATTTGCACGGAAATATTTTTTTTTTGAGGTGAGATTTGCAGTGTATACTGAAAAACAAGCTCCCAGCTCACACAAATAGTTCAGATGTAGTTTATCCTCAACAATTTACCATTTTGCTAGGGGTGTTGTACTATTTTCTTGTTCCAGGATCAATTCTTTGCAACTTACCAAAACATAACTATCCTCAATGTACAAGTTCATGAACAGCAAGCAAACAACAAGGATTCCTAAGAATGACACTGCTGATCGTTTCCGCAAGCATCTCATTTTATCAAAATATTTCAAGTTGCGTCTCGTGAAGAACTGCATACGGTAGTGTCACCTATGAATAAAACCACAGCGTTACAAGAATGGTCCACCTGATAAGCATGACAACAACTAAACTTACCTTCAGATGTATCAAATCCCTTCAAACTTACATAGAATGCATTTTCAGGCAGAATTTTTTTTTTTTGGATAATGTCATTCATCTTTTCAAAAATAGTCTCAGAATTTCCTGCAGTGAGACCTCTGATTTTCTTTAAGACCATATGAGCAGAATATTCACCACTATTAAAAATCTTTGATATTGAAAAAAAGGTTTCAATTCATAATTCAATTCTGAAGGCATGGCTTTGCTTGAAAATTTTATGCCTTCATTATTCATGCACAATTAAGTAGCTATCAGAATGGTACAAATGCAATTTGTTTCATAAAGCTGGCATGAAGTAGTTAAACAAAATAATTAATAAACATGCATAAATTATAAATATTTTCCTTTCTACATGAGATGTGTTGCTTTCTTCAGTCTCTAGAGAGGGGGCTTGTAAGACCACAGATCTCTATGTACATGTATGTGCAGCTATCAGACAGAGTTTTACATGGTATGTACTGTGAAATTATAATTCCTTTGACTTTTTAAAACAATACACAGTGAAGAGGTGGTGATGTTCTTCATACGATCTACAAAGGTGTGAAATCTGTTTAAAAGGTCAAGAACGGATTTTCACATGACACTGTGAGGTTTTCTCTTGCAGAACTTGCAACACTCAGAAGAATTTTAACTTTTTTTTAAAAAAAAAGTAAATCCCAAATGACCATCCAGAAAAAGACTGCTTTTAATAAAGCAAGTCCTTGAAACCAAAAACTGAAATTAAAATATTTAAATTTATGTCTATTAAAATTTTAAAACTCATTTCTATTTGGATTTCAATATGGCTATTCCTAAGAGGGAAAAAGTTACAAAAAAGCAAGATTTTTTTTTCTTCTTTTCCTTTTTTCAGAGGAAAATACTTTTTTGCCATCTACAGAATAATTTCTCTGGGCCACATTCACGTACACTCACTCTGGTAAACCATTCCACATTTGATCCATTCTACTTCTTCATACCTTTCTGATAATACTACGGATTTGTGCTTTGTCCTGCTTTTAGAGATTATCACTTACTTTCCTTACATATTTCCTCCATAAACAGATACATAAAAAAGCTTTGTGGTGTTACTTTTCCCTTAAGGTTGCCTACACAAGTTAAGGACTTAGCCTTACCTAACCAGTACAGTTAATCTACTTGTATCTACAGCTGTACAGGGGCAGAGCAACAAGGTCATCTTCATATTATATTCTGGTCTGCTTGAGTGCTGTGCCCCAGGAGCTCAAGAAAAGTTGCTTATTTAGAGAGGCACTGGTGGCTGTGAGAAATGGCAACTGAATTATTTTAATATTTTAATATTTTCAAATGAGGCATGTAGATTTACTTGTCACTGTAGAGTCCATATTCCAGGAGGTGGAGCTGGTCCACTGCCACATTTATTATATGAGATAACACAAAAATATAATGATTGGATTATTAAAACCCTTGTGAAATTTATTGCAATCCCTGATTTGACAGAGACACTCAGAAGCAGGCACTTAATTCCTCAGTTTTGTGATATAACATTCTACCACTTACTGAACTGCTCTACTTGCAGTTCTTAATGCTTGTCCAATGTGTTTTTCATTTTTTCTTTTTGGAAGGCTGTACACAATACTCAAGAATTGCATTCACCTATCTTTATAAAGTCACAAAGGAAACATTTAAAAAAAAAAAGAAGGAAAAGCCCCAAAAAAACCCAGATTTTTTAAATGGTTATTATTAGATTTTGCATGTACCATGATTTTCTTTTGCAAGAATAACAAAAATGAATCCTAAATTGTGATGTAGACTTGAGCTGCAGAGGGTGGTGTACTAGAGAATTGTAATGGATAGGCAATTCCATAGGGCTCAGATAGACTCCCAGGCAGACTC